CCGGGAGCTTCCGTTCTGCTGCAAGGACAGCGACTGGTTATTTCTCCCCCCTCCCCAGGGTGCGGAGGATTTCCCCGACTGCTGCATCCTGATCCTCAGGCTTCTGCCTGCAGCTTTCCACGCGTCGGGAACGTCTCTAGTTTCTCTGGTTGTTGGAAGCATACTTACAAAACCCTCCTAACGAAAATTTGGTCACCGTCGGCCTGACCAAACCAACGTGTTTTTCCACCCGTAAAAATGAAAGGGGGCCATCGATGTGCTACTGGACTAAATTACTCTTGTCAGCCTCTGGCCGCGAGGCTTCTATTTTCCTTCTGCTTTGTAGTGCTACGTGCCAGTTCCAATTCACTCATCTGTCAGAAAAGCAATATCGGCAGCCTCTCTTGAGCTCTGTTACTGCAGCATCTTTTCTGATATGCATTACAGTTTAATTGTATTAGTATATGCCAATACAGCAGGCATGAAATTCCTGTACTGATCTTATTTTCTGTTCAAAAACCAAACAGAACTCTCCAGAAAGTGTTGAAGTTGGAGGCACTATTGGAAATTTTATAGTTAGGGGTTTTTTTTATTTCAGGTTAGAGTTCAGAAAAGACAGTAAGTATATTGTAATGCTAAGTATATGTTTTCAAAAACGTAATGAAGAATGTGTTACAATTTTACAGTGGAATGTTTTGCTAGCAATCAGATATGCTTTAGTACTTTAATATTTCTTCCTTCCATGAGTTGATGTTGGTTTCACAGGATTGTGGAAAGAACTGTTGTTAACTATGAGCATGGGAATAATAATCTTTCTTCCAGGAGAATTTTTATATTTCACTTACCCTTATAGAGCCCATAATAGTTTTCTTGCCCTTCAGAATTTTGCAGTCAGTTTTCCTAGTCAAGGTAACTAAACTCCTTATGGTTTTCTTTCATCATTCCATGTGAATTACAATTATATGTGAGAGTTTTATTGGCATTCCTAAACCAGCATAATTTTGAAAGTTTCGTTAGAAAAACCTGTGGTTTAAAATAATAAATGCTTCCTTTTAAAATTATTACCTACATTCATGGAAATGGCTTAATTAAATTAATTTGTTTTGCGTATGTGTATTCTCTCTCTAATAAGGTTTTTCTCTTATATGAATTATTTCAAATACAACAGTCTGAGCTACCCTTAGAGTATAACTTTAAACAGGTGGTTTATAAAACATTAGGTAGGTGCGACTGTATCAGCTTTAAAGCAGGTTATATTTTCTAGACTAGGGGGTTGAATGAACCAAGGCACGACCATATATCTCACAGTGTAAGTTTTCAGACTGTTTTTCACATTATTTCCCATCCCATCACCCAGTGAAACCAGTACAAAGACAAGAATGGAGAACCAGAATGGTAAAGCAGTAGTGATCACTTCTGTCTGCGGTAGTGTGATGAGTGCACTTTGGGTTTGAGTAGCGGGTGAAATTGGTTAGATAACTTGCTGTAAACTAGGGGTAAAGAGGAATGAATATGAACAGGTTTGCTGTAATACTTTCCTATACTGTTGTGATAATTTTTTTTCGATGTTATTTCTCCAGGTCAAGATAAAGGTATTTAGGACATATGTTTTATAGGGATTGCACATTAATGTCTTTCTATTCCGATAAGTAACTACTTTGTCTTTTTTACTTGCAGAGTCAACTGTTCATTTTATTTCAAAATTGGAGCTTGTCGTCATGGAGACAGGTGTTCTCGGTTGCACAACAAACCAACATTTAGCCAGGTTTGTTTTCCTTTTGTTTTTCTTTCTTGTGGAAGTATATTCTTCTTTAAAACATAGATTCTCAGATACAATTGAATAATTACCAAACTCCAGATTAACTAGTTCACTTTTGGCCCCAGTTTATATGGGTGTTTGCTTTTTTTGGGGGTATTCCATTTATTTCTCCCAGCATTTCTAATTATCTCCTGTCACCCTTAATGGCTGCAGGAAGCGATGCTGTTGTAAGCTTGCCTGTAGTAGAGACCAACCAGTGCTAACTTTCAGGTGAGTGTGCCTTCTCAGTGGTGTTTAGGCACTTAAACCATCCCCGATTTTTTTAAGCACAAACAATGGCAACGCATTGCACCAATCTCAAAGGTGTGAACTTAAGTCTTTTACACATATAATAGAAGAAAACTGATTAATAAATAAAAGCGATTCTTCTGTCGTTATATTTGCTCTCTGACCCAGGCTCTTAAGTTTCAAGAATAACTTACATACTTCCTTTGAATGTAAAGGAATTGTTTCTTCAAAACAGCTTGCCTGGTTGCTGAGAGTGTATACGCCAGTTGACTTGGCAGATTATTTAGTCTTTGACTGCGTGAATAGTGTTAGAGACATGTGTGACTGCATGTCTGCCAAAAAAAAAAAAAAAGGTGCAGTGGGTGATAGGGTTTTTGTTATTATGAGCTCTGTAGTTTTCAGAAATTACGTTCCTGGAGAACAGTACGCTGTGCCTTTTTCTATCACTGCTGAATGTCAAGATGTACAGGTAAATAGATTTCTTTGAGAGTGTAGTATAGGGTGAGTAGTGCCTATGAAAGCTGTTACATTATCAGCAGTTTTAACTACAAAGGTGAAGTTTACATAGCAGTGGAGTCCTCTGCAAGTTCATTTTAGCTGACTTCAGAGCAGAATTGCTTAGAATGGTGGGTTGGTGTTGGATTGGGGAGAATTAGGGAGGCAGGTACTATCCACATGACTGGAGGTCAGAGCAACAGCGCTCCTGAAGTTAATGAGTGAGTGGACAGAGTAGTTCTAGGGGGAGACTGTCTTGGTTACTGATCGATAGGGACCACTGCTGGTAATTTATCTACAGAAATAGTTTTCCATTTCAGGGAATTTAATTATTTTTAGTGTAAATATTGTATCTCAAAAAGAATATTGCCCATTTTCAAAACCAATTTGTGTTGCTGACCTACATGGAGAGTGTGCTGAAATGTGATGGGTTATTTAGAGACCTGAATTTAGCTTATTGGTTACTAGAAAATATTTCTAAATTAGACAACTTCCACAGTAGTTGTCTTTAAGTTAAAAAGAAAAAAACAAAACCCAAAAAACTACCAAATTACATCTTTTTTTATAAAAAAAACTCTGTATGCAACAACAGTTTCCTCTGTCAGTGCAGTCTTCAGCTTTTGCTTTCAAAACTGCAGTTGGCAACGTCAGCTGAAGCGGGTCAGCAGGACATGTCAGATTCATCCAGTGATGTCAGGGACCGCTACAGAATCGCACCTGGCCAATGTGCTGTATTGTAATATCTCTAAAGTATCTGGCAGATGTGTAGGGTTCACTACAGAAATCTTTATTTGTATGCAGATTGATAATCAGCTGTGATAGAAAATACAAGAACAGATGTCTTACTAATGGGAAGTTACTGGCACAATATTTTTGCCTTGTGTTGCTGGTGCAGCTACTTCATAGAAGAGATGTGTTAGTAGGAAAGGTTGTGCTATCCAGGGTGATCAAATTACCGTCAATCAGCAGAAACAGTAACTATATGCATGTTTCTGGGTCTCTCCAATTGTAGGCTAAAACATAGTTATTTTAAACCTGGGCCACAAAAGCACAAAGCTTTGGTTGGTGGAACCGTAAACATTACAAAACAAATGTGTGATTTTTTTTGTTTGTTTGGTTGTTTTTTTTGTTTTTAAATTGTGATGTTAGATAATTTTTTTTTACATGCTAAGTGGGCAGTATATGTAGGTATGACATTCCTGATCCTGTGACTTCTTTAAGCTCTGAATACTTACTGGGACTAATAATAAAGTGTAAGATAAAATTATTTGGGGATTGCGATTCATACTAACTAACGTTGAGCTTGTATTTTAAGTAATCAAATTTCAATTTTTGAGCTGCTTACAGTGATATGGACGTTTGGAATTCTTTTGTAATATTAGTTTACTAACTTAAACATGGTTTGTTTTTTCAGACAACTTGATTTTAAGAAGAACGGTACAAATGTAAGGTTTCAAGTCTGCCTGGGCTAATTCTTCAAGTAAAAGCAGAAGGGCTAAAAGGATATTGTCCTTATTTGAAGGATCGGAAACGTGTGAACCTATGATGCTATTATATTATTTAAACAGAAATTCCACCAAGAAACTTCTGATGCACAAAAAGAGATGTAGCTCTTGCCTAGAAACCTTACTGTCTGGTGTAATATTTTAGACTCTGTGGCATTATGTATTATATGCTGTGCACATAACACTGTGTTTTTTTTCCCCTAGACTCACTATAAAGAATCTGGTCTCAAAAGCTAGGCATCCTCATAATACCACATAGCTTGATGTTTTAGGTTACTGTGCCTCACAACTCCCATATTGAGAATAGATGTTGAGACAAATGCAGCTCTTTCTTGGTGGTTAATTAAAACTGTTTTCATAATATGATGGTCTGGATGCAGTTCTGGAAGATATTCAGCAAATACAAAAGGAAGTCTTAAGAATAAAATATTATTTTTAGCTGTTTGCAAACAAGTTGTCTCTTTGCAATTGTCTATTATATGCACAGCAGCCAGTAGAATTCCCCTTTTTATTTTTTTTCCCCGCAGACCATCTTGATTCAAAACATCTATCGTAACCCCCAAAACAGTGCACAGACGGCTGACGGCTCACACTGTAAGTCCCACAGTTGGAGAAATTTTTTTAAAGAATGGTGTTAAAGAGCCCACTCCTAATTATGAGAAAATAATGTTGGCTTCTGAGCTGCTGACATAAAGCTGTTGCAAACAGGACAAGTGATGGAACTCTCTTGCGCACAGATCAAGAACTTGTCAAATGTGTGCAATTCAGAATGCAGAATTGACTGCATTAATTGGACTTAATGCAGACTCTCTTAGCGCTGCAAAGTGAAACTTATTTGCTTAGTAGCGCTGCATTCTTTTTAAAGGGTTAAAGTGCAGACATTTCTCAAATTCTTGATTTAACAAAAAACCAAAATAGGTATATATATGATGTACGGTAAGTTTCCCAAAACTGTGGGTTTTCTTTCATCTTAACTTTTTTAGGAAAATGGAGATTTCATGTTATGCTGTAATTATTGTATTACTTGATTTCCTGGGGTTTTGCTACTAAGAAACCATTTAGTAAAACCAAACTCAAATTATTACACTCATAATTTGAATACTGTGTTTGGATGCCATCTAGTACTTATCTGCCTGGAAATTTGCAAAACCTGTCTATAGTAATATTGGGGAATAAAATAAAAAAAATACAATAATGGAGTATCATGAGATCTCTATTACTTTACAGTGTTAGGTTGATTCAGAAAGGTCACCAGCTAAGTGAAAGTTCTCCTTTTTGGGAGAGAATAACCACCTCTCTTTCAGCACAGACTCGGCTAAAGCGACCCTAAGGAAACCGGTTTCTTGTTAAAATTATTTTCCATAATATAAAGTTGTTGCGTTTTGTATTTCAGACCATTGCCCTCTTGAACATTTACCGTAACCCTCAAAACTCTTCCCAGTCTGCTGACGGTTTGCGCTGTAAGTTCATACAAGTTCCTTCACTGGTTCCCTGGGCTTGATTGTCAGAGCTCAGTGTCGACTTAAGCTGGTCTACCATTTTAGTTTAACAGATCAAACTGACCACCTTTCATTAAATGTGTCCAAAACACACAAAAAAGAAACTCAACAAAAACTTTTTTGCCCTACTCAGCTTCCTCCATACTCCCAAAACTGTGAGGGGAATCTGAATACCATCTGTAAAATCAAAAAGGGTTGAAATTGTACTTTCCCTGTAAAGCAGTCTTGGTTGTGCTGCTTTCTTCCATCCACCTTTCTCCCTGCCAGTTGCCTGCATCCTAGGAATGTGTTTCTGTATGTTTTGTGCTATCTGTTAGGTTCCACTGTCTAAATGAGTGGGACAATGACACGTTGACTTCATCCAGAACAAATTTCCTGCTCTGTAAATGTTAAGAGAACTTGAATTTGAAACTTTTCAGACTGCATGCAGAAATTTGTCCTAGGTTAATGCAGCCTTCATTTAGAGTCTGCTTTGGAAGAATACACTTTGACTGACACACCCTTCTGCAGCTGTCCTTTTTGGATAGGTGCATGCTTAAAATTCCTTCCATGCTTTGAAATTTCAAATTCCAAACCCAAGTTGCATATTTACCTAGGAAAATAAAAGTGCTTTTGAGGAGGAAAAGGGATTTGGGTATGATAATGAACTAATTTTAATGATTCCTCATGAGATAGGAATGGGCATAAGAAAACACACCTACCTGTGAGACTGGCAGAAGTTAAATGACCAAGATTGTTGATCGGCGATTACTGATATATCATTGTGATTGAATCACCAATATTAGAATAAGATTTAAGGGGAAAAAAAATTAGGACCAAAAAGAATCGGTGTTATTTTCTAATTAATATTTCTTGTTGAAGTGAATATTGACTGTGTGGTAATAAAGCTTTGTTTGGCTATTCCTTTTTTTGACTGTTGGATTATAGACTAGTTCAGATTAGTTACCAGCATTTGATTAGACATGCTTTGTGAAATCAGACACTGACTTAAAAGTCAACACTGTCTCTTCTGCTTCTGAAAGTAATCATGGCCCGATAAAGTAATCTGAGTTTTTTGTCACATAATCAAGCTAGATATTTAATGAGCTACATAAGTTTGTCTAGATGCTTAAACGGTTCTTTTAGTTTGTAGGCTTTCTTGTTGCAGATGCTTAGTAGTTAATGCTGTTTCAGTAAACCAAAAAAATGTACAGTTGAGTATTTCCACTCTGTCCCTAAATTCTCAATGCGCTGGTAACTAATTTGCACAGAGTTACAGCAGTTTGGTCTGTGAAGCTGTTTAGATTGTACAGCTGCGAGAGTCTTGAGCAGATTCTCTAATATTCTAAATGCTGGTATCCAACTCTAGTTTGTCTTGACAAGCAGGTGGCTGTTTAGCAGAGCCTAACTGTACCTTCTGTGGTAGAGCTGGAGCTCTGTTATCAGTAGGCTTGCTGAAACTCCTGGCTCCCTGGTTTTTTTTATATTTGTCCCTACTTAAGTACTGCATGTATTTTAAATTGATAACTTGGGTAGCTATTTAATGCTTTTGTTGTTGCATAACTGTCTTCCTTTCTATTGCCGTCGTAGAGGATTAACCTTAGTTTTGAACAGCAATAGTTCTCCTGAGTATTTTAATTAGTAATTGGGCTTCTTGAGGTTCAGATACCAGTAGCCCTGGAATATGAATGTTTGTAAAGCCTGTGCATATGTATGCTTCCCGCTTCAGAAGGACATTCAAGTAGTCATTAACTAACTGTTGCTTATGATCTCCTAATTTGACAATGGAATCTCCTTATAAGTTTTTAGCACTTGTCCATCTGGTAAAAAGTAGGTATTCCCAGTGTGGCTCAAAAGAGCCCCTGACTGACATCTGTTAAAAAAAAAAAAAAAAAAAAAAAAAAAAAACAAACAACCAACTCTAGGTATTAGTAAACTGTTATCAGTGGTGTTGGCAGAACCTTGAGAATATAGTTAAGTATTAAACAGTCTAGAAATACTGGTTTAATGTTTGATATTCATTAGTTTGCTATATAACTGGGGAAGCAGTGTGGAAGAAGGAAGTTCTTAAAAGCAAACGTGCTTCAAATGCAGAAACATTGTTAGCCTAAACTGTATAACAAATGCCCCTTAGCCTTCTTCAGGAGGTGAGCTGGAAGAAAAATAATTACAGTTTGGCTGGTTAATATTAGAGCCTTTTAAAGAAAAATGTAAAATTCATCCAAATGGTAATATTAGCCAAAAATGACTGAGCCCAAAGCTTTTTTTTTTTTTCATAGCAACTTGAAGTGAATAAACTCAGCTTTGTTGGCTCAGTTTCTTGTCTTTCACATTCTGTGAACTAAGACAGTGGTGTTTGTAATTTAAAGGCTAGAATATTTTTCTAGCATAAAATGCAGGGTTCATTTTAAAACTGCTCTGCTTGATCTTAATAAACCACTTAACTGCTAAAGAGCTAATACATTAGGCTTTAATATATACAGCTTAGTGTAGTTTAAAATGCTGTAGACTGGAAGAAATAAATGAAATTATTTTTTTATGTTCTTAATGCTTTGAAAAATCAGGCAAACTTACATTGTTTTTTATAGCAGCAGGCAAGCAGCGCTCATTTGTAAAGTCCAGCTGGGAGCATGAATATTACCTGAGTATATGGCTGGCTTGTCTTGCGCTAAAAGGTGTTCTGCAGGACTCCAGAAAAATTAAGTGATATTCAAAATTAAGCTAGAAAATTGCTCTCTGTTTGAAAGCATTATGGTGCCCTTCTTTGAGGGCACTGAGAGAAGTGTGTACTTTCAATTTAAAAAGAAATCTGTGCTATGTTACATCATGAACTCTCAAAATCTAATGTGTATGCTGGAAAGGTGGATATGTCAAAATGAAGTTCTACCTTTAGGAAGAGGAACACTAAATTGTGATCATGCTTTAAAATATGCAAATATAACAAAGCACTTGCCTTCTGTTTAAGTAAAATTGTTGATAGATAGAGGGTAGGACTGTACATTTAAGTGATACTTCGAAGTAATTCCTTTCCCCTTCCTTTAAATTTGTGGCATAACCAGTTTGGCTCTGATTAAAACTTGTTTGATTTGCTCATGTCAATGTAATGTTTAGACACATGTGGAGGACTCAAAGCTCTTCACACATACTTATTTTTAATATTCCTATTAGTTAGCTCCATGCTATATGGTGTCTTTTATGCTTCCGACAGCCTCTCTAGATTGTTTTGTAGTATTATCAAAATCTCTTCCTTATTTATAGGCTCTAATCGATATGACTTGATTTTTACAGGTGCTGTGAGCGATGTTGAGATGCAGGAACATTATGATGAGTTCTTTGAGGTATGTAAAAGGTGTAACGCATTAAAGTGTTTGTGGATTTGTTCACACAAATGAGTTAGGTGGATTCAGCATATGGCACAATTAGATGGATTCAGAGAAAAGCGCTTGTTTCCTCAGATGTTCATATAAAACTTGAAACTTTCAGTGCTAAATATTTCTTTGTATAACCTTTGGTTAGTTTGGCTTTAACTTTACTGGTTATAACAGACTTTGTTTAAAAATCAGCAACTTAAGTGTTGTAGCATTTTGATTCCATAATCCCCTTCTTTCCCATAAATTTAAAATACACTTACCTAATTTGCTTCTATACAAATATTTAAAACTATAGCATCAAGGTTTACATGTAGTGTTCTCAGTGCATCTTATGTATTCTGTAAATACTGTATGCATAATGTTTTTCATAGCTTTTTCTTGTATCTTGTTAGTGCTGTACTTACAGATGGACACAGTACAGGCCAAGCAAGTACTAATTCTAAAATCAGGAGTGTAAGAAGAGGGGTTGTTTTTTTTTTTTTTCTTTAAGGAAGGCCTTCTTTCATACTTACTAACAGCTAAATGCAGTATGTCTGTACTTGTAACTAATCTGCAAACTTTTAATTGGTTGCTTTGTGCTTAGGAGGTCTTCACAGAAATGGAAGAAAAATATGGTGAAGTTGAGGAGATGAACGTTTGTGATAACCTTGGAGATCATCTAGTTGGAAATGTATACGTAAAGGTAGGATAAGGAGAGACAAGTTCATATAATCAGTAGGGGTGGTATTTATTGATTTATAATTTTAAAAAGCTTACTGTATGCTTGTGGATTTTGAGAGTAGCTCTTCAGTATATAAGATCCTCTCCAGCTTCACAATATAAAGGAGAAAGAGTGAAAATGTGAATGGAATCTGAAAGAAATTTTAAGAGATTATGAGAAGCTTTCTTGATAGTCAAAATCTGTGTCATTTTCATAAAGATTAACACTTGTTTTTTTATATTGTTATAAACACAGTCACCATTGCTGGACTGTTTAGTTTGCCAGGATTAATTTGGGGTCTGTCTTCGCATCGCACTGCCTTTTAAGCACTTCATTATGAGCAGAGGTTTATTCGCAACAGGTGTGTTTATTTTTAATGGGTGCATTTATTTTCTAACTTCACAGTTAAACAAAACATCTTGTAACCAAGTTACATTTGGCAGTAGCTGGGTGGTTTAAGGTGGAAACTGGAGCACTTAGCTTCAGCTCTTAAAAGTCATTGGTATCTGTTGAATAATGAGTACAAAGTTGTCACCTGCAGAAATTTTATTGTGTGTACACATTGTTGGAGAAGTGTGAGAGAGTTTGAATATTTTTACTGTACATTCCCTTAACTGAATGGTATTTTTATGCCTAAAATTCTCAGCTGTGTAGGTCATAATATTTTTTAGTTTGCAAGTGGTTAGCTGTGAAAAGGAATTTCAAATCTAAGTTTTACATTCTTCATAAACAGGATCAGATTTTTGTAAATTCTAATTTAGATTAATGAGAGCTTCAGTTCTCATGTAGATTTCTTAGATGTTTGAAAAAATCCATTACATCCAGAGCATTGGTGTTCTAGAAAGTACTCTTAAGCATTCTCTTTGTTTGAAGTTGTACTAAGAAAACACAGTATCTTCTATCGTGTATTTTAACAGAAGCCACAAAACTTGAAAGACCAAACAGAACATGATTAGGAGAAAATATCAATGTTTTGATTAGCTCTGAGTCCTGATTAATGAAAAGCTAGCATTTTTACCCTTGATTTGATGGACTGTCCTGGGAACTCTGAAGAAGCTTCTATTTTGATTACTCGTCCGAAGCCTCAGATTTCCACAACTGATTTGGTAGGAATCTTTGATCTCCTTCTGTTGCCTCTCTATAACATGAGAAAAAAATGTAAATTTTGCTTTTAGTTTCGCCGTGAAGAAGATGCGGAAAAGGCTGTGATTGACCTGAACAATCGCTGGTTTAATGGACAGCCCATTCATGCTGAACTTTCACCTGTGACTGACTTCAGAGAGGCTTGTTGCCGTCAGTATGAAATGGGGTAAAAAGTGACTTCCTGTTTGCTTGTGACTTTCTCTTTGAAACGCTTGCTTGGGTTGCTTGGGTGCGGCTTTTATGTGTAGCTTAGTGTAAGAAGAAAACAACTTCAAGTGATATACATGTGTAGGACCTGCAGTCAGCCTCCTGACTTCTGCCATCTTTTTAGGATTTTGGTCTAGGAGTGAGTCAGTGTCAGTAAATTATGCTTGCAATTTACTGGTTTAAATGTCAGAGGTGATTAATTTTTAGATGGCTAGAGGTCCACTAGGGCTTATGGCAAACAGATAGTGTACAGCAGGGAATTTTAACTGTGTCTCTTGCATTTCATTTCAGAGAGTGTACACGAGGAGGTTTCTGCAACTTTATGCATTTGAAGCCCATTTCTCGAGAGTTAAGACGCGAGTTGTATGGGCGGCGTCGTAAAAAGTAAGTTTGCTTTTGAACACAATTAAAACAGGAAAATTAAGGATCAGTTCCTGAAAATTCTGAAGGCAAATCTTTAAACTTAAGTCCTATCTTGTTTTTTCTAATGCAGTTCTGACAAACACCAATGAAAGGGCATCAAGTAGAGTTAGCGAGTGGCCAGTTTAGAACGAAGGAATAGGTGTCTGGTTTTTTTTTTAAAGAAAAAAAGCTATGGTGCTTGTTGCTCTGCCATGCTGTGGATGCTGAAGGTTCATGCGGCTTTAAGAGAAGGCAGCGTTCAAGGAGAAGAATATTCACTGTGTTCCTAAGTACATAGGACCTGCCTTGAAACTGCAAACTATTACAGCAGGACATTATTTGGGAGAAGTATTGCTTTATGCCTCTTCTCTATTTTATTGTCTTCAAAATGTATTTGCTCATGGCCTCTGTTAGAAGCAGGCTGCTTGGCTAGCAGGCATTTTGTCGGAATCAGATTGGCCACTTTCAGCGTTATGCAGAATCAAGCATTTGTATATTTAAGACCAAACCTTATTTGGTTTTAACAGTTAATGGGTAACTTTTCTAGCCTATACTAATCCCTTAGTAACAGGCACTCACTGCATTGAGCTCACTTTTTATTAATGCTCGCCTCACAATGCGACCATTCACAGAATCACAGAATGTTAGAGATTGGAAGGGACCTCGAAAGATCATCTAGTCTAATCCCCCTGCCGGAGCAGGGACACCTAGATCAGATCACACAGGAACGCATCCAGGCGGGCTTTGAATGTCTCTAGAGAAGGAGACTCCACAACCTCTCTGGGCAGCCTGTTCCAGTGCTCTGTCACCCTCACCATGAAGAAGTTTTCTCTCATATTCAAGTGGAACCTCCTATGTTCCAGCTTGAATCCATTCTTGATAGGAATTCTCAGTGGGGCAAAGGAATAGTAGTTTTGATTAATGG